AGCTCCTGCATTGAGCGTCTGCCCCCTGGTGGTCAGTGTGTGTCATTCCCAGTCTTTCTACTGTTAGGGTCAGTTTGCATATTACCTTTTTATTATATAGGATTCTGCACTGGCTTACTAAAAGTAGAATCATGCTGAGGGAATCATTTAATATAAAATATGACATCTGAATAATGTCAAACATAAAATATAAATCTTATTAATATAGTGAGTTAGAGCTAAGAAACCAGAAAAATATGAGTGTACAGAGAGAATAAAATTTAATTCAAAGTGCATGGTATATTAACACTTAAGATCTGCATTTAGCTTTGTAAAATATTTCCTTGCAGCTATATTTGTGCTTAGCGTCTGACATTTAGATTAAAAATAGAAAATTTCGTGAATCACATTCTCATAATCACACTCCCTTATTCTGTCGGGGCTTTTGATTTAGGGATTGCAAGCATGCAATAGAAATATACTGTTCCTTTTATAAAAAATGTCTTTACAAATGTAACTTAGCCTAACCTCTTCTATGTTTTTATGCTTAAAAAATATATCACTTAATATTTGGCATGTAAGCTACTCAGAGTAAGAAGTGCTATAAGCAATTTTATCATTACTCTAGTGTGAATGTAAGAAATACATGTATGTTAGCAGTCCTCTGAAAAATACCTACTTATGTACATAGCCTTGACTAACCTTGCAGAAGGCCCTTAAGAAAAGAACAGAAATGAGTCTTTAAAATCAGGTTTAGCCAATTCATTACTTAACCCATACCTGAACTCTTTGTTTATGTGAACTGGCAATCGCATTAGTAAAGTTACTACATAAAACAGAAACTTGCAAATGTAAAGGAAGTTTCCTAATGTAAAAAATCATAATCACATACTTTCAAATTTATATCAAATTTATTTCATTAAAAGCTCCTGTGCTCATATTTATTCAAAGCTTTCATCACTGGTATGTACGTATCTTGATTCTCCATGCTTCAAGACAAAAAAGTCTTCATTCTTAAGTCCATACCTTTCTAGGGCCTCACTGAGTTTCACTGGAGGCTCTAAGTAATGCTGGCAAAGGGCAGAGAGAGGGAAAGGGGGGAAAGGTTAGCCATGCATGTATTTGGGGGATATTTCAAATAAGAATTCAAACCAAAATGACTAACATGTCTACTTAAAATAATGCCCTTTTCACTGAAGCATTAACAACTGAGTTCATCACATTTTCTAATACAAGAGTCATTAATGTTAAGTCGATAGAAACGTCATACTTACCAATCTATCCAAACACCATGTATGTCAAATTTGGTTCCAACTTAGATTGAACAACATTAAATTGCATAAAATCTGGTCACTATTTCACTACATGAAATTTCAATCTAAATGGAATCAATGCCTAAGATAATATTAGAGAATTAAATATTACCGATATTTTTTAATATAGAAACTTTCACTGCAGGAGTGTTGTGTGTGTGAGCAAATGCAAGAGAAACCTTTTTGGCTGAAGAAGGGTTGTTATCCTCAAATCCCTAGCCACATACTGACACTGTAGTGTACAGAGCGAAAGAGGGACAGAAATATGACAGGTGGAATGTCCCTTTGTGTGTTCCCCTTTTCAATCTAAAACAAAAAAAGTGAAGACAGCACACTGCTGCAGAATGTTTTAACCTATCAAATGTTTTCCAAATAAACAAACCACCTGGATATGTATTATTCTAACTACTGATTTAAAAGATATTAACAATTAAAAATGTTTAAAAAAAGATATTTTTAAAAAATCACCTCACCAGTTTTTCTCTTTTGGTCTAAATCTTTACATTGCATAATTGCTACTTTTCCCCTTTATTTCAAATGGATTTCCCCCCAATTTCAATTTTAAAAGCTTGTAAAATGTGGGGGGAAAAATCAAACAGTGTCTCATCTAATCACCAGGGGGCGGTCTGCCTCCACCCTTCACACAACCAGCACCCTTTGAGCACCATGCAGTAGTCAGGCCGAGGAACCAAGCAGAACCCTGGAGCTGCAGTCTAATACACAGACAGATAAGAAATGAATAAGTAAGAAAATAGTATCTGATCTGAGTGGTTGATATATTCTGGGGACAAAATGTGGGCTAGTGTGGGATGTGGAGGTTTCATTTTAAATACAGCAGTCCCCATGCCGAAACCGGTTTGGCTCAGTGGATAGAGCGTCAGCCTGCGGACTGAAAGGTCCCAGGTTCGATTCCGGTCAAGGGCATGTACCTGGGTTGCGGGCACATCCCCAGTAGGAGATGTGCAGGAGGCAGCTGATTGATGTTTCTCTCTCATGGATGTTTCTCACTCTCTCTCTCTCTCCCTTCCTCTCTGTAAAAAAATCAATAAAATATATTAAAAAAATGAAATAAAATAAATAAATACAGCAGTCCCAGAAGTTGTCTCTGAGAAGGTGATATTTGAACAAAGACCTGCTGGGACAAGAATGCACAGGGCTTTGCAGGCGATTGTGAGGGCTGTGGCTCTGACAGTAGGATGGGAAGCTACTAGGTAGAGGAGTGCCATGATCTGATTCAAGGTGTAAAGGTCACTGTCCTCTGCAGTGTTGGGAACAGACTGTAAGGGCAGCATGTAGCAGGGAAGGCGATGAGAAATGGTCAAAGTCCTAATATAATTGGAAGGGTGAGCTGATTGCATGTGGGGGAAAACTGGATGGAGGGAAGATATGAGAGCGAGAGAAGTCAAGGTTTTGGCCTGAGCAACTGGAAGGAGGATTTGCCATTTACTGAGATGTATGAGAAATAAATTTGAGGGAAGCTCAGAAAGTTTGGTTTTGGACTTAGATTTTGGTACCATTGTTAAGAAAGCAGTTGGAAATATAAATGTGGATTATGGGAAAAACCTGAACTACAGAGGGACAGTCGATAAGTGGTAACCTGCTTATATTATAGTAAACAGCTAATATATCTACTTACATGCAAATAGTTTTAAAGTGTTTACAAATCAGGCAAAACATCCTCCCTGAAAATGCCATCTATTTTATAACAAACTCATGGTTGTCAGGTTTATGCAACGAATGTTAGAATGTGAATGAATTGCTAAGTGAGTTTTTATTACATGTTTCATTAAGAAAGAAACATGTTAGATTTTTTAACAGAGGTTAGATTTTTTAACAGAAATAATTCTTGAAGGCTGAATAATACAACAACTCATGAAGACTGGGGTTTTCTATCTTCTCAGTAAAGAGCACAACAATCACTGAAGTTAAAAATCTAGGTGTCGCCGAAACCGGTTTGGCTCAGTGGATAGAGCGTCGGCCTGCGGACTGAAAGGTCCCAGGTTCGATTCCGGTCAAGGGCATGTACCTGGGTTGCGGGCACATCCCCAGTAGGAGATGTGCAGGAGGCAGCTGATCGATGTTCCTCTCTCATCGATGTTTCTAACTCTCTATCTCTCTCCCTTCCTCTCTGTAAAAAATCAATAAAATATATTTAAAAAAAAAATCTAGGTGTCATCCTAGATTCCTCTCTGCACAGGTTTAATGAAATAATTCTAAGTCACTGGTATATATTACATGTGGAGCATATATATGGAATAAGAAATGCCACCAAATATAGTGGTGTACCAATGGAAACCAGTATCAAACTTCCCCCTTCTTCAAGTACAAAGACACATTCTCATTCATCCTCCCCATCCCTGTGGTCCTTCATTCCATCTCCCAACTGTGGCTCAGGATTATTTCATCACAATGTGGGAATCTTGAGTGGGGAGAACAGGCAATGGGCAGGCAGTGTATTAGGTAATTTTGGGACAAGCTGTAATCTAGGGAGAGGGCAGGCCAAAAACAGGACGGGAAGGGAGTGCTTTATACAGCATGAAAACAGGGTTCCTGCCCTGGATGTGGAAGATGCCACATAAAGCGAAGTAGAAGCCAACCAGCCATTTCTAAATTTTGCTGAGGGCAGGTCCTGGATCCAGGAAAGACGAGAAAGCTTTCTTCTATCCTCCTGCTTGATCCCAGAACTGGCTAGTAGCAAAGTTGTAGGGTTCTGCTACCTTAAGCAAAAAATCAGTTCTTCACCCAGCCTGCATGGCTCAGTGGTTGAGCATCTACCTATGAGCCAAGAGGTCACGGTTCGATTCCCCATCAAGGCACATGCCCAGGTTTCAGACTCCATCCCCAGTGTAGGGCATGCAATGGATGATTCTCATCACTAATGTTTCTATCTCGCTCTCCCTCTCTCTTCCTCTCTGAAATCAATTTTTAAAAATCAGTTCTTGCCGAAACCGGTTTGGCTCAGTGGATAGAGCGTCGGCCTGCGGACTGAAAGGTCCCAGGTTCAATTCCGGTCAAGGGCATATACCTTGGTTGCGGGCACATCTCCAGTAGGAGATGTACAGGAGGCAGCTGATTGATGTTTCTCTCTCATCGATGTTTCTAACTCTCTCTCTCTCCATTCCTCTCTGTAAAAAATCAATAAAATATCAGTTCTTCTATAAGTCTATGAGTAAAAGTACCATTTCTCCCAACACCTGGCACCTAGCGGACACTGAATCGATGTTTACTGGTTGAATAACATTTCTAAAAAGTTCTAAGTTGTCCAGCCTTACTTCCTCCATTGCCCTCCATATGACATCCATACTCTGGCTGAACAGAATTCCTCACTACCCCAGGTGCTGCTTCCGATCGTACACTCTGCCCTTTCCTCTTGAGATGCCTTCTCATGGCCGAGTTCAAATGTCACCTCTTCCATGAAGCTCTTCCTGATCCCTCCAATCAGCAACTATCCCTGATTCTGAGGCCACTTACCCCTTTGACACCTGTTTTAGAGTTATTATGTACATGTCTTACATGTTCTGCTAGAATGAAAGGCTCCCTAAGAGAGAAGACATGGTGGTTCATTTTTCTGTTTCCCAAGACTACACTCGTTTTTTGTTATATAAACAAATGCTTCATTACAGAAGTCAAAAGAACAGCATGCAGTGAGGGTTTTTTCACTATATAAATACTGTTTTACTAATTCATGATTTACCACTTCATGTGATGACTATGAATCACACAGTTTCTGATTCCAGTTGATCTCTGGACACACCAAAGGGAGTGGTAATGCCTGAATCTTATCATAGATTAAACATACCAGTTATTTTTATCACAGACTGACCTCATTTGCTAAGGCAAAAGTTCCCCAGTGAATGGCCACAGATTTCTTTGCTTGAACATCAATGTGAATCCTTACAGCTTCTTCTGGGTCCACATGCTGGTATTTCATAAACCACCTGATGAAACACAGCAATTTATTAATTCAAGCCTTTGAAATATATAATGACTGCTTCATCTAATCAACCTTTAAGGTTCTGCACAGGAAAAAAATCACAGTAGGCAAAACCATCTCCTTTAAGTCTACTTTTCTTCTGGAAAAACTTAAGCAAAAATATTTCATGTACAAACTGCTATACGATAGATAAGTCTCAAGCAAAATTCTCCTTTGAATAGTAAGATTTTGTGCTATGTGTATTTTTATTTTATTGATGATTTATTCTGAAAATGTCTTACTGTTACTTTTAAAAGCAGATAGTTTGCAATCCTGGTATGAATCAAAACAATGGGAAAGAATAAGAAACTAAAAGTCTACTTGCAAAAGAACATGAAAAACTTGCTGAAAAAATTTTTAAAAAGGGGACATATGTAATATTTTCAACAATGAAGATTTAAATAATTAAAAGAATTAAAGAAGAAAAACTTGCTAAATTGAAAAGCCAACAAAAAATCATATATAGTATTTAAAGATCAGGAGCAAGAAAACCCCAGTTACTACCCGAGGATATTATTTAAACAGCATACAACTGAACAGTGAGGTGTTTTGGTTGGACAAGAAGACAGGGCTCAGGGGGGATAATTAGAGCGTAGAAACACTGAAAGGCTGCCTAACACCTTGGGAAGAGCAGGGAACACTTTCAGGAGCAAGAATTATTATTTCTAATAAAAAGGGAAGTGTACAGTCTACAGGCAAATCCTTTGCTTTCCCAGCCATTAGTTTAGAAGAGGAAAAGCAACGCTGTCTTCACATTATGTATATCCCGGGGCTGCTCCTGCCCACTACGGCTGCAGTCAAGACTGATGGGTAGGGACTGGCACAGGTGCTTCTACACGTCACAGAGCACATCATGGAGCAGCTCATCCAACTCCTACGGCCAGAAGGTTGTTATTTACTGTGGGAGCTGCCGAGTCCTTTGGGAGCCTAGAAACAAAGACGCTGTTCTCAGCGGCAGAGGAGACAGGCACTGTGCTGCCACAGCTCCTCACGCTCAGGATGCAGGGCAAGATGAAAACAGTTGCTGGTGCTTCTGTCCATTTTCTTAAATTCCTACTGCAAAGCAAAGAAACAGACATACTCCTTTCTACCTTCATGTCTATCTGAAGTAAATAAGATATTTACTCCAGGGTAAATAACAAAAACTCAAACTTCTAACGGACTTGGATAGAAACATTCCCAAAGTAAGGATGACATCCCACGCCTGTTATTGAAAGTCATTTTTGTGTAATCACCTTAAATATATAGAGTATTCTAAAGTTCTGATAGATAACCTTATTTCTAAATTGTTAATACTAAGCAGAGATTCCACCATAAAAGCTACCACAATTTACTTTTCTTAGAGCAGAAAGAGGGTATTACATGAGTGAATTTATATTGTCGCATATATAGGGTGTCCCCCCAAAATGTATACACATGTTGAATAATTATTAATTCCAATGGGTTAAATCTGAAAAGAAAGAAACAACAATTGAGCTATTAGCTGTTAAGTGTGTATACATTTTTTGGGACACCCTGTATATGATAAGTTTCCATTCTGCTACATATGAAAACTTATTTTTATAATTATAAATGAGATATTCTAACTTACTAAAGACATATATTGAGTAAAGATCAATTCCATATGAAGTTGATTTGTAAACACCTTGGATGATGTTTTGAGAGGTTTTATTAGAATTCAGAATAAGAATTAAGTGGAAAAGTTAAATTCAAGTCCTATTAATAACTTAAAATAAATTTTTTTACCTGGTAAATAAGGTAAAAATATCTAGCCACTTAAATGAACTAGAAAGAGACATAAATGGGAGAAATAAGCATTAATAAAGACAGCTGACTCTTTGGAAAGAGGGTGCATTCCAGCCATGCAGCAAGGAGTGGTGACAGAGGAGAGCATCCTCCACGCGAAAGGGAACACAAGCGTTAGGTCTGACACTGGCTGATCGGTTTAACTTCCATCAAAATGGTGCCTGATCTTCTGGGCTAGGCCCAGACATATTTTTGTTGGTAATATAATTTCTGGCT